TTTTCTTTTATCACTGTTATCAATCTCATATATTCTGCGACATTTTTTCGACATTCTTGAACGTAACGGCGCATTATATAGTTGTTATTGCTTTTCTTGTAGAAGTAATTGAGGATAAAATCAATTACCAAAGTATCTTGATGAATAATTCCCATTTCCTTAGTCTTATTCTCATAATTTTTCAATTCTTTAGATTCGCAAATATCTTCTATTGTAAAACTAAAGTGCATTAAGTATTTAATCGCAATACTAAAATAATATTTTAAATAAAGCAAACCTAGATAGTTCACTCGTATTGCATCAACTTCTGGTGATTCTAATAATGATAGTTCGTTTACAGAAAAGTTTATATCTGGAATATCTCCAACCATCACGGCGAAATTATTAAGTTGATAATACGTGAATTCTTTTGTATTCGACGTGACTTGTGTTTTATCTGATACACTAGGTACCATGAAACCACAAAACGAAACAGTTTTGAATCTATCTGCAGCCTCTATTGGATTACCCATCATCGACAGCCATTCATTGTATGAATTCAGCAAGGCTTCACGCATGGCATTCTTTTCACTCATAACAATAATTAATAAACAGCCGCTGGTTTCTGTGAGTAACGGGTGAAGAACACCCTCGGTAATCTCTTCCAACCTCAGGATCCTTTCTTGAATTTTATGAGTTTTTATGTAATAAATCTTACAGGTTAAACCTTCCTGTGCACTGGAACTATTAGCTTCACTCAGTTGATCGTTTTCTTTAATTGCGTTATGCATCTTAATTTCTTATATTGTTCTGGGAAATTTTATCTTGATTTGAAACAACTTCAAACAAAGTCTAAAATAATTTTTTATTGCAAATGATGAGACATTTTACTTCCATTTCTAGTTTATGAGGTTCATCCTATTTTTGATCAGCAGTCACAATGACGATTTTAAAACGTCAGAAAAGCAAGAGCATATCACGTATAGTTAACTGATGTTATATCGAAGAAAAACTGTCAATTTTTTTCTATACGACGCATATATCAAGTGAGTGTTCTCATTTTAGAAGTATGTTGATTCACTCGAGTTTCATACATGGTTGGATGAAATCTGGATGTGGTTTGCTATGGGTGCTGGAATGGGTCTGCTTTGGGAGAAATTCGACTACATTCAGTCAATTTCCAGTATATTACAGACACCTATCAATACCTATCTGTGCATACTTATTTTTAGTTTCATTCCATCATAATGTATTTTTGGCTGAAATGTTCTAAATTAGATTGTGAAGGGTAAAAAAGTCGAACCCTTGAAGGGGAACTGCACCAAAATACTAATTGCACTAAATTCAGACTTTTAAAAATGATAAAGAGGCACTTCCTATGTTTTGCTTAAGTCATGCATATACTGGATGTAAACTATGTAACCTGTAAAATACTATGATGTTTTACCAACAGATATTGGGTGTAGTAATTCCACCCCTACATATCCCGATCTACTTCAGTTAGTGATGAGACAGGAGATATAGGTACATCATTTCAAACATAGTTCATAAGTTCATATTTTTTATCCATGTTATTCCTCTGTTTCCTCAACTATCATTATTCTGTGCTTAAATGCATATCCCTGAGCTTGTGTCCTTTTTCGATTTTCAATCTTGAATTATAAGAAAGAAAGAAAACAGATAACCCCCTAACTAATTGATTTTTGCTGATGAGCATATCATGATTAATATACACAGATTTATTGTACAGTGAACATGTGTTCTTGATAATGAGAAGTAGAGTGACTCCCATTGTATTGAAATATGTGTGTATCTGAGTACTTTTTGTTGGAACATAGAAAAGGCCGTTCTTAACGGTAAATGGTAGACTTCCCACCAGCAACGATTCTAATATGAACTTTAAAAAAACAAATGGAACGGAGTTAATTGAAAGCCTCATGGATAGAAAACGAGTGAAATAAAGTAAAACATATTTTTTAAATATAATACATAATACAAAATAATCAGTAGAAACAATAATAATATACATAAAAAGAAGTGGAAGGGAACAGAGATGAAAAATTTAAGAACAAGCAAATATGACATAGTGTGTTACAATTAAATAATACATTCTGTGTTGATATGTTCCAGCTGCAAACTCCCTCTCGACGACTTTCAACCAAGACCTTATTTCTGAACCCACCATGTAGAACACTTTATATTGGAGCGTTCCTATGATATTTATTGGTTTTAATAGTGGGCATTATGATATTTATAAAAGGTTCACCGATATTTTAAGAACTGATCCGATTGGTAAAACAATATCGTCCATTGAGTTCATACATTATTTATCTCAACCTGTTGTGTTTTGGATTAAGCCTACGATAGAGAATAAGCTAAATACACAATATGATATTTTAGAATATAAACTAACAAATAACATTATTTCAGATGAAATATTTAAGTTATTGAGAGATTCTTATTTGAAAAGAGTTGGAAGAAGACTTTTGGACCCTGATAATAACAATATGAAGAACTATCTTCGACCGGAATAACCAATCAGGATACTATGACGTAAATAATATGGTAAGTCATTTACACTGAGGTACTGAATAAACTATTCAATAACAAAATCTATTTCCTTTTGTGTGCTATTATTGACAGTATATCAAATAAACTATTCGACAAGGTGATATTATCTCAATACGACAACATTCCCAAAACATCGAAACACAAGGAGTAACCTTGAATTCGTGAGACTTTAGACATCTATCTTGTTTACGAATTAGTTTCTTTCAAGAGAGTAAGTTTTGGGCGAGTCTTATTATACACTCTGTTCTAAAAATACTAAAGTTTGTTCTCATTGTTGACAATTGTTTTTTTAAGAAGTGTATTCTGTTTATTACTAATGATATAATTGGAACAAGTTTAGAAATAGGATCTGAAATATTATTCAATATAGTATCAGACTGCTTATTTACACAGCTACTGAGTATTTGGTAGATGTGGTATTTCTTAAACATCCTTTTGGTAAAGCATTTTACATATCAGTATAATGGCTTAAAACGGTTACAATTCTCTAATTACAAACCATTTTCGTGAAGCGGAAGATAAATATTTATGAAGGTGTTTTTGGAGCATATTTTCGGAGATGATATTAGTGGAGGATACTAGAAAGGTTACAAAGTTCTGAAAAATTTAATAATCACAATTTATATGATATGCAATTTTTATTGTGAATATCATATCTTTACCTAAAATTAAAAGATATCCCACAATTTTTCCCTTCTGAAACTGTTTTGAAAAATCTGTAACAATAAGGATGTAACGGTACTCTGTTAAATTTTCTAATATCTCGATGTTTTTTGAATCAAGGCTTTGATTCAGATCTGGAGTCGTTCTAAATAAGCGACGTACTTTATCTAGGAACTTTCTTTTGAAAATCCAATTATTTTTATACTTCTGTGTCTCATTCATCGTTAACTTAGTTTTTCTAATATCCATGAGCCAATTGTCTACGTATAAAGCGGTTTTGTTTAATATCATTTCCTAAATAAGTGGTGGAATATCACCAACCTCTATTTTTCGTTTTGGAATGATTGATAAGATTATTTTAATAAGATCATTTCGATACAAAACGATACAATAATTCCCTTGCTAAAATAACAAATTTAGAAGAAGTATGAAGTATAACGGAATCATTTTTCATATCTATTTTATCTATGGATCCACTCGCATTCAAAAAGAATGCCTGGGTGAAACTATTTTCTGGAGGATTTGGAAAGCTTTTTGAATCATCTTCACTTGTCATTGGTGATACATATTGCGTAGCACCGACACTCTCTAGAAATACTGATATGTGCTGGTTTCGAGCAGAGTTTGTAATGATAAAAAAATAATTGTCCTCAGAATATTTTTCGTAATTTTCAAAAATTGACATGTTAAATAGCCATTCTTCTTCTAATTTACTTGTGTTGAAATTTGAGTTGATAACATACGCTGTTGGAATTACTTGTGACATATTTGTACACTTAGTTATCGAATTATTGTTTAGTATAATTTTATTAATAGCAGAAATTTATAATAGAGGGTTGACATATACTACATCAGCGTGTCCTTTCATTAGAATCAAAAACTACTTATTAGACAGTTTGTGACACACCCTAAATTTCAACTCCTAGATTCATCGAGGCAAATGTTTTACTTAGATACAGAAAATTACATTATTGTTGAAACCTAATTCTCCATAGAGCAATTACATAGGCTTATTAAGAGCAAAGAAATAATAAATGTACTGAGCTGAATATTCTAAGGTATATAGTATGAGATATTCACATGAGCACAAAATTTAACATTAACCAAATAACACGTAGAACATTGTGATTGATAGAAATCCTAGTTTCTATCTTGTTGAGCATTGATTAGATTTTTATTTTCATTCATTTTTATTTTACAGATATTATACAGATAATTCTTCTTAATGTATTTCGGAAAGAATTATTTAATATACAGATTATGTATTTCAAACCTCTGTCTTTATATATTACGAATTTAGTGGCGTAGTTGTTGACCTTCACATTTATGAACTTCTTATACTAGTATCGTCGTATAAGCCTATTCAATTATAATAATTGTGCACAATAATCTATGTGTTATTTGATTAATGTTAATTTTTTATGCTCATGTGAATATTTCATACTATATACATTAGAATATTCAGCTCAGTACTATAAATTGATCTCTCACCACCAAATTATAAAATAAATGTCAGGTAGAGTACGTTCAAAATTATTTTAAATTAGGATATATAAAACTGTACAATTCGTATATCATTATGCCTATATATATTAGTATTAGTATTTATGCGAAAATCACAATAGCAGTGAAAGTATGAAAGTGGTTAAGAATGTGAAGATACTAGTTTTGATATTGGATCCCACGTTTAGATTTTCCAATACGCTATGATTTGTAGTTAAACCTGATGACAGTTCGCTTGAAACAATTGCCACTGTTGGTTTTGTTGAAATAGTCCCTTCACTTTGGATGGTTGACTTTGGAGAAACAGAAGTGTCAATTTCATTATTATTTGATAATTCTATAGTGGTAGTTATCTTACAATTTTCACCACATTCCTCCGTAACCTGTGTTGTTTTATCTGTTGAGGGAGTTTTAGTGGTATCGTACGTATTATCTGGACAGCTTGTAACGACAATAGTAGTAGTTATATCAGTTGTGTAAGTAGATATAAAATATTTCACAGATGATGTTGGTTCCCCTGGAAGCAAGGTAGGTGTTGAACATAAAGTAGTTACAGTTTTCTTAATAACAGTGGTTTCTGTGACATATTCTGTAGATTGTAGGACATTGTCATTTGTTACGGAAACAGAGTCAGTGGAAGTTGCGGGTATGCTATTCATGTAACTGCTGGATATACCGATTGTTTCAGAAGCTTTTGATGACGAGGAAACAACGTTTGACATGGAATCATCAGTTGAAGTTGGACTTGTCGAGGATAATACCTGAATGGATGACTCGCTCACAAGATTAGAAGTCGAAGATTCACTGGAGATATCTGAGCCAGATAATGTAGTAGTAGCAGATTGCGAACTTGGGGATGACGAATGAGAATAGGATTCACTTGCAAGTGAAGAGACTAAATCGGAAGACACCGTAGAAGATTCTGAACTTGAGGTGGAAGTTGTGCTTGTAATTGAGAACTCATCCTTAGAAGAAGATGGTGAAATAGAGGTGCCAGAACTTAAGGATTCCTGTTCGGATGATGTAACCTCAGAACTAGCAATGCTTGAAGATTCGGTTTCTGATGAAACAACCGTAGATGCTACTGGTTCAGAAGTAATGGTGCTAGAGCTTTCAACAGTGGAAGAACTTTCAATACTTGAGGAACTTTCAATTGTTGAGGAACTTTCAATAGTTGAGGAACTGGCTGAAGTAAAAGCTGGAGTCTGGACAATATATAATGACTCAATAACCTTTGAACCAGCACTGTTTGTAGAAGTTGCGTATTGTAACGAAGTTTGAGTGTATGAACTATCCCATTCGACAGTGGTGGTGGAGGTGACATTGATATAAGAACAATAATTAGCATCGATACCTGTAACCTTGTGTAGGAACTGGTCAATATCTGTATATGTGTTCCCATCTGGATCTGTCATTGTTAGTTGAAGTGAAGCGTCTGCACCATTTGTATTCAAATACATTACTGCAAAAGTATACCTGAAACCTGCTAAAAGATACACGGAATCTTCTGGTTTGTTATTTTCTGGTTCTGATTGAAGGTCTGCAACGTAGAAATATAGTTTTCCTGCCGGCCAATTATCCGGATCGTCACAGCACCATACATTAGTTGGATTAGCCAAATTCATTAATGCACCTTCTGTGGCAGCGATATTAAAAGTGTAGTATCCAGTTTTTGGCACAATCAAGTAAGCACTGGCACCGAAAGTGAAGTTTGAAGTTGTCACCTTTTTACCATAAACTTCTCCATTTACAACAGTGTTGGGATCACCTCCAGTGATAATGTCAAAGTTAAGTTTTGAGGTACTAACTGTACCCAGATCAGCACCTAGACTCAGGTCAGTTAAATATTCCCATTTTGTCTTACCGAGAGAGGTTCCGTTATCCAGGTAACATCTACTAAAACTGACTGAACTTTGTCCTGAAGATCCTAGGGCGTCATCGTAAGTAAACTGTGCAATAGAGCAACTTGGGAACGTCTGTTCTTGTGCATTGATTGTTGTAAATAACAAAGTAGTTATTAATGTTAAAGTTAAATAATTCATTTTGGTTTTGTTTAGTTTCAATATTTTGTTTTTAGAAACTAAATAAATAGAGCATTTAGTACAATTTTTTAAATGATAAACAATGAAGAACTTAGTAGAATAGATAGATTTAGTGAAAAAAAATTTGTTCTTTTCTCTCTCTATATATATATGTGTGTGCGTCTGAAGAATGCGATGAAAACATGAATTGTATAAATGTAAGGTATTCATTTGCGCATTAACTGTGCAACAATCTACACCTATTATTTAGATTTGTTCCCAATTTCCCTAATGCTCATTTTGCCATTACTAACAATCTCATGATTTACCTAAAAGGGCCATTAGTCGACCAATATCTCTTGGTTCTTGAAAAAAAAACCCGATATTAGTGTTTTCAAGGGAAGATATTTTTCCGTGGAAGGACGAACATTACATCAGCATATGCCTATAAAAGTGATAAGATCTGCACTTCCGATAGGATTTTCCTACAGATAAATTAAGAAATAAGCACAATAAATCTTATGGAGGTAAAAAAACCCAGCCCATGTTCTCACTACAGCACATTCCATGAGACCACAAAGGAGAAGGTTATTTCGATATATACAATCGCATGAAATTGGTTCTCTCTAAATCGTTCTGAAAAGAATTTGTCTTCCAGTTTTTTTTGAGGTCGATAGATCGCACTGGAAATGGTTGACTTACTTCATGATTCCGTAAGATATCCACGCACCTCTTCCAGAAAACAAAAAAATAACATAGTTTGCGGGTTTCCCCTTAAGAAGTTAAGGCTCGAATCTAAGAAAGGACGAAGTAGAGCTTAGGGGGTGTGAGCGACAACTCTTATAAATAACCAGAGGAGTCCAAATCATTTGCTGTTATTTCCGTAGTGATATACGGAGCATGCTTCCCAAAATGGATATAAGAAAGAGTAGGCAGCAGTTACTGCCTGTTTGGACTCAGCGAGGTCACGCCCCCCAAAAAAATCTCTTTTTGCTCGTCCAGCTTAAGATATGGCCGCTGGTTTCTGAGCTATCTTCGGAGAATGGGCCGTACAAGCCCACGGCCTAGACTGAAGGGGACCAGCAGCGAGGATTTTCAAAGCATTTGGAAGAATCGGGGGATTTGTGCGCAATAACTAGTTAGGTGCAAAGGAGGTCCCACACAATATATTTAGTGAATTCTTTTCGCCAAGAGCGCTTACCTAAAATGGAAAGTGGATCTCTTAACCAGCATTGAATGCAATACTTTATCTAAAACGGTGATCTTGAAGTTATTAGTATTTTGGTAAGACATATTATCGGTCCATTCATTACTTTTGATTGTTTGTCTGCCTGTTTGTTTTCACAGGCATAATGAAAAAATCGGCTTTAACTAATATTGCCAGTCCAAAAAGATAATAATTCATATAACCAGCAAATACTGATTACATCAATATATCATCCGTTTTGTTTGGTTGAGCCCCGTACTAAATGTTTCTATGGTATCAATGTATATATTTATATTAAATACAAATTTGGTTACGTACCTGTTGATAAAACTGTCACACAATGGAATCACACAGATATGTAACACTCGAAGTGCTAAATAAACCAATAAAGCTTAGATTTTGTCCCAATAAGAATCAGATGAATTTTTCCTGGGATCTAGCCATGGCAAAAATTCAGTATGAGAGAAAATATAGTGATGTGTTAAGATTAAGTTGAGAAACAACAGAAAAAAAATCTACAATGTAATGAAATTGAAAGTTTATTGAGTGACTACTAATATATATCGTATAGTAAATACAAAGCACAATAAATTCAAAGTCACTAGTTTTGAGTTTGTACGATTTTAGTAAAAAAATTTGTGAATTAGCCATCTGTTTGGCATTGATTCAACTTTAAAAGAATTATTTTATTATATTTTGCAAAATTACTTTTAATGTTCCTCCTAGGAACATTATACCGATTATATATATAAGCGTTTGATGTGGGGTATTAAAATCTATCTAGAAAATAAAAAACCCAGATATTATAGAAATAAAAATGGCAGCAAAGTCAAACATTGACCTTGAACTACTATTTTCATTAAGTTCAACAACGTAAGAACTACTTGAGGTACCTTGTGATTTTGATGTCTCTTGGATGCTTGGGGCTCTAGATGTTTCTTGTTTCATAGAGACAGTAGAGGTTCCTTGCTTTATTGGAGCTTCAGAAGTTTCTTCTGTCTCTTGTACCACAGAGGTTCCAGAAGCTTTAGAATTGGTCGTTTTCGATGCTTCTATTGAGCAACCACCTGGACAACTTGTGATTGTAGCAACTGTAGTAATCTCGGTCACGTATGTTGATAATACAAGTTCAATAGAATTATGGTCTGTAACTGAACACTCAGTAACAATTGTCGATGTAATAATAGAAGTTTTAGTAATATATTCTGTTGATTGTGTAGAAGTTTTTTGGCAATTTTCAGAAGTACAAGGAACAGTAACCGAAGTCTTTTGGCCCAAATTAGAATCTCCCTCGGTTGACTGGATAACTTCAGAGGATCCTAAAATTGGTTTAGAGGTGATTGAGGCGGTGGATTTGACCGTTGAGGAGTTTGAGTAAGTGTATGCACTGCTTGTGCTAAAGTCTTCTAGTGAACTAGATATCTCGTTAATAATTCCAGTAGAGCTTGATTGTGATGACAGTGTTGTGATAGAGGTGGTACTGGATATTTGACCACCGTTATCGGTTGAACTATAGGTAAAAATGGAAGATTCTCCAGAATTTAAACTTGAATATGCGACAGAACTCGAGGATGTATCTGGAATTGAAGTGGAACTTGATATTACACTTGAGGATAAATCTGCGCTTGTAGTAACGCTCAAAATAGTACTTGCTGACTCGCTTGAGCTATCATTTGAGCTTGATTCGGTGATAGATAACGGATTGCTACTTGGGGAAGAACTAGTAATAATACTTGAAGAAAAGATAGAGTTCGCAGTTGAACTGGATACCAAACTTGTTGAGGATTCTTCATTTTGTGTTGAACTAGACACCACGCTCGATGAGGGTTCCGAACTAACAGTCGAACTTGATACTATGCTAGATGATGATTCAACTACAGAAGAAGAACTCAAAGACATAGTTTCAGGAACTTTGACATAATAAGTTGTTTGGGTTTCTTTAATTCCAAAAATTTCGGCAGTAGTAGTGTAAAATACTGTGGAGTAAGTTGTGCTAGATTGTACACTTGCTGACTCTAAAATATCCACCTCGGTATGACACCTTACAGTCATACCCTTATTCTCATATAAATAATCTGTTAAATCACTTATAATATCACCATTCGGGTCGGTGATTTTCATGTTAAAGCTGGCGCCTCCTGACCTATTAATGGATGTCATTAAAAGAAGTACTGGTGCCCCAGCAGTTAAATATATGGTTTTCGTGGTTACATCGTCTGGTGAACCTGTGACTTTTAGAAGATCTGTAAAGTCTTCATAAATAGTTTTATAGAATCCTATTGGATCGCTTGCATCTATAGTAAAATTGTGACAGCAATAATAATCATAATGCGATCTTACTGATAGTATAGCTGCATCATCGGCACTAATTTCAAAGTTATAATTTCCACTGATTTTTGGGTAAAAGAGACCTGAAGCTTTGACAGTGAAATTCGAAACATTTATAGTTCTACCGAATAGGGTAGCTGTATTATCAGAGCTGTCATCATCAACGTCCATTTCATAATTTATGTCTGTTATTCCGTAAAAACTATCGGTTTCTGGTGCACCATCATCAACTAAAAAGTCTAGAATATAGTCATATGTTGTTTGCCCTGAAGCTTGAGGAGTATACACTAAAAAGCTACCTGAGAATGAGGATGCGTAGGGGTTTAAGAAGGTTAGGTTTGCATTAGAACAGGTTCGAGCATAGCAGTAATTTATCAGCTGAGCTATAATAAGTGAAAATAGTTGTATCTTATTATTATGAAATTTCATAATGAATTATGTGGTTGATTTTTAATGGTGATTATATTTTCTTCAGAGACCAAAGATAAATAAATAAATAAATATTGACTTCAAGAAATGCGAATTTATATCATTTTTCAAAATACTTCTTTCTCTTGTTGGGCTTATTTATAGTTTTGGTATCGAACTAGATAGGAGGGAACACGTATTTCACTTGATAAAAATTATTGTAAGAGAAATGGTTATTTTAGGTAGAGAGAGCTTACTTGATAAGCATTTCATTGTATCGGGTAGATCTCCCTTGGTTGGTTCTTTCGAGTGCAGATCATATTTCTATTTTTTTTGCCTTCCTCCCTTTTTATTGATTGTACTGGTTTTGCCCCAGAAATAGCTGAAGACGAAAGAGGAAATGGGATCGTCTTTCCCGTTTCGGAAATACTCGAGGAAACGACCGTACAAAAATGAAAGAAAAACAATGCGGGCGACATTGATTATTTGACTCAGACATACTGCACATGTTTCTTCGATAAGCCCAGCCAATTTTTGAAAATGCCCAGCAAAAACGACAAATAGAAGTGTAGCATTTTGAATACAAGTTAAACTTTGTTTTCTCAGTAACCCAAGATAAAGGTGCGTTTCTGGGTGAGAGGAGGAAAATATATCTGCCACGGTTTTTTCAAGTTAGATCTGCTGTCTATAGATATGAAATCAAGATCTTCAACAAGTAGCAAAGCAATTTTACAATTGCAACCTTTTCTTATTGAAACTTGCTTGTAATTAGAAATTTGGAATATAATTGGATCAAAAATGGGTGAAAAGTAGCATTTTTTATGTTATATACGAAGGGGATGGGATGATTTCAATAATTATAATATCCCTTAATTTAACACCTATAGGATTGCGTTCAAGCAAAATAAGTCTAATTTTCATGGGATTTTCCGTACCGAAATGTTATTTTAGTTTGTGGTGATACTCGAGGAGTTTGGAATAATATTAAAAATATATCAGAAAAGTTTGTGTTTTTTTAATGTGAAATAAAAGCACAATTTTAAAGACGTTCTTAAGATAGTCATTACTATTTGAATTTTGCAATAAATTGTAATGGTCGCAAGCAACATTTCTAGTGGTGCTGAATAAAAAAACAACTATATCTAAGTGGTTCCAACTACCACCTATTTTATTAAAAGTTAAATATTTCAAAAAGTAGTATGCTTTATGTAACTCCTTTTATGTTCAGTTGATCTCATAAGGTTTTCAAGGTTATATAAGGATATATTTTTAAGATAGACGCTAAAGAAAAAGATGTTTAAAACAAGTATAATCTCTCTTGGAGAAAAGGAACGGAGTGGCTAAAGGTCGTGATATGTCCGTGTTTTAAGGAAGGATTTATCTATATATATATCACCAGTCGAATTATTTTTAGTATTACATTTTAACTCAATAAATTTAAATATAGAAAGCTATTCAAATATGTTTTCTAACGAAAACGATATGAACTCTCTCTTGTTACCTTCGCAGAGGAAAATTATTGTTTAAAAGGAGTATGAAGGATAGGCAATACAAAAATAGCTCGATTTACAATATTAAACTATTTAAACTTTTTAATTATAAAATAACTTGCTCTCTATTCTTATATTTAGTAACAGTATAGAATAGCAATTGCAGTTTTGGTAGGGAGTAATAATTCTATTCTTAAAAGTAGTGCGCAATGCCTTTACTTCCTTCTAACCCTGAGAAAATATGTAATACAATGGTTGATCTTACATTTTATTAATGAAAAGTAATAGCCTTTCTACAGATATTAATGCCCTATTATTTCTATATCAGAAGATTTCAAGTTTCTATTACGGTTTTTAGGCAAAAAAATGTTTAATCGAGGTATACATTCTCGAGGAGATATTGATAAGCCATAAGAACAAGTGAATGCAAACATGCCACTTAGTTAAATACCCATTTCCTGATACAAAATTGTAGAATCAACAATGTATATTTTATTCATATGGAAAAATACAGATAAGTCTCATAGATGTACATCAATTAGGTTCTGAACTGGTAAATCAATCGTTCCTAACTATAATTGATTGACTATATATATGCTTTTACTCTTCGCCCATGCATACAATTTATAATTTTTAGGCATCCCTCCAGTGCAATGTATATACGAACAAATCATTCATTGACAAAAGAGTATTTTGATATATATTATTCATAAAGGTCATACACAAATTTGAAAATTATCTATACAGTTATTTATTGGGCCCCATTCATCTCTTCAGACAGCTTACCTTGAGCGATCAGAGAAGCAGGTGCGTCCAAGGTTGGTAACATAACCTCGATCATTCTAATCTTGGAATTCTTTTGAAACGATTTATTGGAGGTCAATTTGTTCCATTCACCAACTGTGGATACTCTATGGGCTTCGTAATCTTTGGCACCAAATAATGGTAGTAAAGCTAGATGATCCCATGGTTGAATTTCGTTGTATTCAGCATGTAGACCATGGATCAACTTCTCGATCGTGTAACCATTGTTATTCAAAACGAAGATGTATGGCTTCAAATTCCATCTAACCATAGTAGATATTTCTTGAACGGTCAATTGTAAAGAACCATCACCAATAAATAAGATCACTCTTCTTGAAGGATCGATTTCCTCGGCAGCAAAACTGGCACCGGAAATAGCACCGCCAGCATAACCAATAGAACCCCATAATACTTGGGAGATACCAACAGAGTTTGGTGGGAAAGTAGTAGAATTTATACCGAAAGAAGAGGTACCTGTCTCGGTGATAACAATATCACCTTCTTGTAGGAAAGAGCTCAAGTGTCTCCATAACCATTCTTGTTTCAATGGAGCAGATGCAGCAGCACTGTTATCCAATGGTAGAGGCTTTGGAACAGAGACTGGCTTGTAACCCTTGTTAGCGGCACCAATAACCTTCAATAATCTTGGAAGTACGAAATTCATTTGAACACCTGGGAAAGTAGCATTTCTAATTTTCATATGGTCAGAATGGAATTCAACAACCTTCTTAGTATTATATGAGTATGTGAACGAACCAGTGTTGTAATCGGATAGCAATGCACCGACAGAAAGAATTAAATCAGCAGATTCGACAACCTTCTTAACCTCTGGGCTAGATAAAGAACCAACATAGATACCACCGTATCTTGGGTGGGTTTCGTCAATGGTACCCTTACCTAAAGGTGTTGAGAAGGCAGGGAACTGGGTAACATCAACCAATTGTTTGGTTTCATCTTCAACATTATGTCTAGCAGCACAACCATCAGCAATAATAATTGGGTTCTTGGCGCTCTTAACCAAAGCCAAGATTTCGTTAATAACTTCATCCTCAGCTTCTTTGTCGTTTGGCTTCAAGGATAACTCGATTGGGGTTTTCAAAAGATCAGCAGATACTTGGACGTCGAAGTAGTTAGCTGGAATACCTAAGTAGACAGGTCTCTTGCTAATGTAAGTAGCTCTAATACATCTATCAATTTCGGCTGGAGCAGTGGCGATATCATTCAACATTGAAGAGGTCTTAGAAATATTGGTAGACATTCTGTGGAAAACATCGAAGTCACCATCACCTAAAGTATGGTGAAGTAAAAGACCCTTAGCCTGAGAGACAGTAGATGGGATACCGACGACATGAAGGATACCAACATGCTCAGAGTATGCACCAGCAATACCGTTCAAAGCAGATAATTCACCAACACCAAAAGTGGTGATGACACAGGACATACCCTTAATTCTAGCGTAACCATCGGCAGCGTAAGCGGCGTTCAATTCGTTAGTATCACCAGCCCATCTCATACCTTCGACTTCATAAAGTTTGTCTAGTAGAACCAAGTTAAAATCACCTGGAACACCAAAGACAGTGTCGACGTGGACTTGATGTAATCTCTCGAAAAGGTAACGACCTAAAGTAATTTGAGACATTGTAAAATTTTGTTGTTTTGTTTTGTTAGTTGTTTGTATGTTTGTTTTTATTGATGATATCTTGGGAGTTGATATAAGATATATTCAAACATGTTGTTATATCCCCTGTTTATATATGTTTCCCCAGATCAATCGACCTCATCAATTAATAGATGAGCGTATTTAACTGAAGACAACAATGTTGACTATCAAACACCTTTTTTTCTGTATTATATGATTATTTGAATAAAATATTCGTTTCCCTCTTTGACGGCATATTCATAATTTAACAATTTGATTTACGACACATTGCCAATAAGGAATATACAAAACAATAACCCCGGCCCGATATTCATTTTTGTCAATCAAAATATTCATTTATTCATTTATTCAATTATTTCATTGGGTTCCTATAATTAGCAAATCATTGTCTTCACCACTTTTCCCTTTTGCTTGTCGCACCGCCCTTTTTGTATGAGACACCCGCAAAATAGTTGTGTAATTTGAATAAATGCATAAATTATGCAAAAATTCCTCAAAGAAAAATGAATAACGTAATCAAAGGTCCTTGTATCCATGACAACCGTTTTCTTGTTTTTCTCTTGATTACATTATATTCCAAGGAAAATTCAACTTCGACTTTGAGGAAAGTCTTGTTGAGGTGGATCTTAAAGTGGAAAGATGAGATCTGGGTGTCCTAGACATTAGTAAAGATGGGCCTCTGGTTAACGCTGTTTTATCAAATAAATTATAGAGAAAATATGGAATCCTGGTACATAATATCAAGATTAAGTGGTGTCATTTTTTTTATAACGTCTTTTAACACTCATATGATATTCAACAGGTGAAGAAATGCTTTAAAGTACATTGTTCGCTCAAGACGTAACTAAAAGACGTTGAAAGCAAAATGAATGGAGAAATACTAGTTCAACTATCTCTCTCGTCACGAGTTATAGCTTATCATCTGTCAGGTATATTTCGAAGATATTTATAGTGCAACTGTGATGTTGGGTCTTAAATATAGTAAATGTTCTGTAGAAGTTCCACTTTCTTCTAAGATCGGATACAATTGTTTTCAATATCCAAATTTGTCCTCAGATGGTTTTAGTCTATCCTACTCTTCATTCATTCGCCAAAATTATTGGAAATTAGAAATTTATTGCCTCTGCAACAATAAGAGTGATTCAATACAACGTCTCCTCAACCTCTTATGAAGTTTCATGAGAATCAGATAGCAGTTGCTGTTTTGCCTTCATATTTAACTATGGCACAACTCTTTCTCAATTTGTGAGCAGCACGATGATCAACAGGTGTATAAACTAAAATTCTGATCGCAAGGTGTTTAATTAAATGAAATCCGAAGGGTTGATCTTATGGATTCGCATTTTTTGAAAGATTGAATGACATCTTAGAGCATAGTACAACTTTTATTAAAAATATCAAAAAGTAGAGACATTTAGGCCAACTGTTTTCAATGTAAAAGCCATGAATACCCTGTTCATTTCACATGATATGTATTTCCATTCTGACATTTGTTGTTTGAGCTGGCCAACTAACTTCTATTTCTTTTTACTGTACTACTTTCTAAAAAATTGACCCCAATTACCTTATATATTGTACTGTTATTTTCACGGTATGCAATTGATATTACTATTAATGCTTGACAAAAAAATATGAAATCAAGTGCACTGTAAAATTGATCCATTAAAAGTACATATTATGGCGATATCACTTGTTCATTCTTCTACCCTTCAAATATTCTTCGTCCAATGACTACGTACGAATCTGCAAATGCTTATTTACTTATTTACTTATTTTTGTATAATAACCTAATAAATCTTGCTTGGTAGACCTTTTTTTATTTAATGTATCAGGTTACACATAATAATTAATGTCATGAATCGTACGGTGCATATCGTTTGAACCAGTGACAAAAAACTCTAAAAAGTTCAATAGAACTATCTGTGAACGTACACTGATGGATATTATTACACCATCCTTTTGGTGATTTTATCAAATTATAGAAACAAGAATATGATGGACATGTTTTCAACGATAAGTATTCTATAAATTTTGGTCATTAAAAACAGTATTATCCACGTATATAATTCACTCTTAATCCTTTCCCCGCTCTACTGGAAGTTTAAAAACAACACTATAATTAATATTTATATAATTTGAATTAAAAAAATTATTCTAAGGTGATTCTAAGTCTTCTTATTTTTTTGTAAATATTTTGAACTAAAGTGTCACAATTTGTAACTCTTTGTTTCTCACATAATATTGATTTTGTTATTTAATATATTTAGTATATTTAATATAAAAAAAGCTACCTCTAGCACAGCCTGAAAATAAACGTGTAAGTACAGAAATTAAAGAAGGAAGCCGCTCTTAGTGAATGTACAAAATCTTAACTTATGGGTTCAAGTTGGACATATCTGGAAGTAAATCTGGATATTCTGGTAGTTTGTAAGGTAAGTTGTCTGGGTAACACTCTGGGTAGTACTTCTTAATGGCATTCATCAATTCATTGAAGTAGATTTTCGAACCATCGTTACCTAAATGAACACCATCAACAAATAACTTTTGCCAATCGTTTGGTCTTTTAGAAATTTCTGCTAGGAATGGTTTGTTCAAGTTAACGACACCAATCTTCTCCTTAAGGGCAATTTCTTCTAGGCACTTAACGTATGGAGTAAAAGCTTCAGTACTTCTTTCCATACCAATCTTGATGTCCCCTTCGACCTTTGCCTTCCAATGTTTGTGGTCCATGGCAGCTGGAGAGATTAAGATAATTTTTTCAATACCTTTATCACGAAGCATCTTAATCATATCAAGCATGTTTTGACGATATTCCTCAATAGGAACTACAAATGGACCAGCGGTAGAAGCGTCATTGGTACCAAACCCAATGGAGGCCATCTTGACATTATGTCCATCATTTTCTAAAATCTTTGGAAGAATCTTTTTAGCTTGTCTGGTATTATAACCAATGAAACCTCTTTGAATGATGTCCATTCTTCTGGTGTAAGCACTGGTTAAAGCTCCACCCCATGTGAATTGAATTGGATCTTCTGGATAGATTTGGGGGTTGTAAGAAAATTCAGTGATGGAGTCACCAAAGACTAAATATTTATCGTAGTTCATTTTTTTTGTAGTTGTTTTGTTAAAAGGGGAAAGATGTGTTTGTTGCTTTAGGTGTATATCTTTATGAGAAATGTAAATTGGGAATTGTTTTAAATTTATTAGCACAATTGGCTCCCCTTATATACCATTAAATTTTGAGTATTTGAGAAACCAACAGTGAGCGAATTTTGGTAAATCTTGTTGGCAACGTGTTCTGGCTTATTCTCATTCTATTTTATTTATCTCAATTCTAGAATAAGGGTGACCCCTATCTGCCTTCCATGGAATTTAGATCTGCTTTGCTTCCAGCACATAGAAACGCGGTACATCATTACTTAAGACATTTCTTCGGATCCTCGGAGCCACTTTTTCTTCTCCACAGAATGAGATCTTAATTTACAGCTGAGGTAATTAAGTAATGTGAGGCTAGCGGGGCCAGCCAAGATGCCCCTAAATTAGTAACTTGGCACATTCTTGGAGCGTTCGTTGCATCATGCGAAATATGCACAGAACGAAGATGGAAATCTTGCGTAGAGAAAAGAGCGAGAGAAAAATATCGCAATATGCAAAACAAAAAGGAGATGGTTAGATCTACATTATATTTTGTACATGATTGTTTTAGCGGTATTAATTGAGATGAAACTACTATCATTTGCATGTTTCATATGGTGAATTTCATTTTTGGAAATAAAAAATATCGATGCAGATGAAATAGTACTGACTCGTAACATAAGTTTACCCCTCAATTCACATTTGTTTGTTGTTTTATTATTTTTCTATGCATGTGATGATGATAGCAAGGAAGAAAGAGACAATTGTAAATAACCCTCATTCTTAACAAATTAAGAATATTCTTTTTTTGGAAAACCGATAAAATGCCTTAAAAGCACTAAAATAAGCCACATATTGCGTTAAAATAATTTGTTCAACAAGTGCGGCTCATGTAGTTTTATGTTGTAACAACGATATAGGTTACTTAATATCCCTTAGTGTGCGTTATTATTAATTGCAATTGTTGATACGACTACGTAAGCAAGTTACAACTACGTAGTTCTTTTCAGCCGAGCTTAGTAACTGCCCGTGCATGATGGTTTGGCTACTCGAAGGTACCAATTCTATACGTGTAATATAGCTAAACAAAAGAAGAAAACAGAACAAAACAAAACAGTAGATCCTATTTGAACGGAATATTCAGTACTAATCAGTCTATACTTTGTAAAAAGGGTGAAATGAACTGATGGGTATGGAATAAAACGATTGGCTTCACATAGTACATTTATCCAGTGTTACTTGTATGCCCTAGTTCAGGTCTACAACAAGTCTCATCTGATTATCATCTGGCTGCTTTAGACAATATATTTACTCCTTAAGATCGCATTTTAAAAAAGCATGATGTAATCTACAAAATCATTGAAATTTGCAACAAAAACTTCCGTAATTTAAATAATGGATGGATGCTTCCTCATGTACTGCGTTAATTACCTCTCCAAGTTCAAGTTTCTCATCCCAGGGGTTCGTTTATTCAGTAGATGAGAAACGATTAGAACAATATACTAAGATGTTAAGCATAATCTAGGATATATGGTTCTGTGTCATATTATAACTAACTATCATTACCTTGAAAATTCTGAAGCCTAGATAGTTATTAAGTAATGCGTTTGTACTTTAGGAATCTTTTAGTTGCCATCTCTTTTTCTCTTAAATCATTGGCCTAAATTTCACCCTGTTCTCATAAATATTTAACAAATTGGTGTGGCAACCATACTCTGTGCTATTCTAAACAACAGCTAAACAAAGAAATTTCCAAAGCGAAAAGTTTTATGGTATAAGACCTTTAATTATGATTCTCTGAAGACAAATATTTAGCTTGCTATTGGAATATATAAAAACTACATCAGGTACAATCTGGTATTTGGGACATCCACAAAACACAACAAAAAAATTACCCTTTAACAAAAGAGTCCTTATGCAACAAATTTTGGTGAATATAAGAGCATCCGATGGAATCTGCATCCAAAAGAGTTGAAGATAGAACGTTCAACTCCCAATTTTATTTTTAGTTAACCAGCTAGAGAATAAGTAGGCTCACATTTGCATGCTTATTTAAGGAACTAGTCGAATCTCCGGTGAGAGCGTTTTTAATAGCATGGCCTATTTATAGCCTTGATGATAGTTTTGAAGTAACAAGTGTATAGAAGTGTTACTAGGTGTAGGAGATTGAGTTTAGAAGATGTCTGGGTCGTCCGTATTGGCCTGATCTTTCTAGGTATATCCATCTGAACAGTGAACCTGCACGATCAAATAAACGTGTATTATTTTTAGGCGTTAAGAAGGAGGTATTTTTCCTCATAGCTGCCTTTATTACAAATTTGAACAAGCACCATTATCTAAGAAACTTAATTAGGTCTCTTAGTAACAAAAATATATATATCTGAATTCTCTGGCACCTTGTGTTAATCCTTCTACTTCAGGGGAGAGAACATGGTTTCAAGATCAAGAGCGCAAGACTCAAACTACTCCTTGAAAGTTTTGATCAGTCCTAAAGGGTGGCCAAAAATCCATTTATAATGATATGTTTATTATCCCAATTTTCTTATCTAAAACACCAGGAAGCTGGTAAATAACAATTTAAAATAATTATATTATCTATTGTTCAGATAAACTCGAAGCACAAGATTTAGGCATGATTCCAATCCTTACTAGTGAAGAAGCCGTGTCATATGTACATATATATATATGTATATCCTAGAGTTATATGTGTTATGAGAAGTCTATATATCTGGTTTGTAGGAACTTAACTATATTATATTGATAGTTCACCCCATTGTATGTTAATTCCAGTTTTTATCTTAGTTGCACGCTCATTATGAAACAGTATTTGACGAGGCCTATAATTTACCTCAATTAATTTCCTTCAGTACCTTAAGATAATTAGCAGGATATAGAAATCCAAAAAATCTCGGTAATTGATGAATTATTTATAAAGATGGTCTAAGGCTATGCCCCAGAATATTTGGTTGAATAACACGTTTTTTTTGGTAATATAGAGGCCAATGACTATTATAAGGAATATTCGCACAAACTAGCCATGTTGAAGCCAGATCATAACACTTAACTTCGAACGTTACTTAACTTCCAAGTATAAGGGTAATAGACTTTTTTTTCAGTATGTATCCAGTAAATGTCAACTTCGTAATAACCTGAATGTTTTTTAAGATATGATTCCAATCAATGGTTACCTATATTCGAAAAAATACCTCTTAAATGTACTAGCATCAAGTAAATGAATTACATTCAGGAAGTAGCTTAGTATGGGTTACATCATTTGTTCTTTTTCGATGACAATGGGCATAGCTGTTCTTCTAAAAACACCAATATTGAGCCCAGTCCTTACAATCGAATCTAAAAGTTTTTAGTTACATGCTAACCATTTTTATTGATAAGAAACATATATTAGTTACGCATGCCTCAAGGAGCTTGGTAGACGGTTACTTCTAAGAGAATCAAGAAGTGACCTAAATATGAATGTATTTCCACATGAATTTCATATTTTCAAGTATAAAATACATCATAATTCCTCGTATTTTTTTAGGGTGTAGAAATTTTCTGTTCAGTTGATTTTAGCCCTTTACCATATGGCACATATATGCAGTGGTTGTAAAATTCATATTTTCTTATGAAGAAGAAGGTATAATTTCGTGCACTTTTGAATGTATTATAGCACCCAACTCATTTACACATATCTGTAATTCTACCTTTTTCAAAGTCCCAATACCCCTATGTTTGAATTTTCAGCTCATGCTAAACCTAAGCTGCCATGTGGATGATTCCATCAACCTTAGTACTTCTCATTATCTCTAGAGATTTACGCAAATGTAGGTATCTCTTCGAAGTACAGATGATCAAAATATTTACATCATAAGTTTCCGTCTGAAGCTTTCATTTAGATAAGTACGTATTGTATGCAACCTGGAGGTTTCGAAATGTCTTTGTAACCTTGGGGTTTTTAAAATACCTTTGTAACCTTTCACCATTTCCCTTTACCTTTAAAACACAGCGAACTTGTTGATGACTTTGTTTGAAATAAGAACTGAAAGGATATATTCATCAATGCATTACATAATTTGTCAGATGATAAACTTTTAATTCCCCCATCAATGCGATGGGTATTAAAAGCTCATATAAAAATTAAGAAGTCTGAATGCTGTATACTAATTTACTGGAAGATGGTCTTAGCTTTATAGCATAGCTATAAATGTATCGATAAATGTATCAGTCTACAACTCATTAATAAGGATGACCCCTCATAAAATAGTTTCCTTGTGTGCTTGTCAGGTTATAATGTAATAACCAAAAAGCTGAATTAACCATGATACTCAGATATGGGTCTAATATTACCAGTTGCGTTCGTTATATTCGTAATTCTTTGTGAGCGAATGGTTCCATCCTATCACCCAAACACTATTTACTTTATAATATAAGCTCAACCTGAGCTATCAAGTTCTATATGTTTAAAACTAATGGGTTTACAACTGGTGAATAAATAACTATCCTATTTTATTTTGTACAAAGAATTTATTAATAAATATGGTATGAAAACAATATATGTAAATTAAATTATCATTAAAAGAATGGATTGAATTAAAGTGCTGCCACTTTCATCTCTAAATAAAGAAAAGAAAAGAAAAGATCAGAGAAAAGAAACATGTTATTAAACCTCCTCTCAAAGTGCTACCAATATTGTAATTAATATCTATTGAAGGTGAACTACTTGTCCCTTGGCTACTCTCTCTGGACATATATTGGGATATAGTTGGAGTATTTGACATATTTTCAGCTACAGTTGTTTCTGCTGCCCTACCAGAAGTTATGCTCTCTTTTGTATTTTCCTTGGAGTTTGCACTACCGTTAGGCAAGGCGGTCCCAGAAATAGGACATTTGGTTACAATTGTGGTGCTTGTTATTTGTTCTTCGTATGTTGATGTGAAATATTGTAACGATGTAGCACCATTCTCTGGTAA